TTATTTAGCTTTAGTCATGGTGTTTGGCTTGAAAGGCTGTCTGTTCACTCTTATCTGTGCAGGGTGAGCATACAAACCCCTGTGTAAATCTCGGTGTAAATTTGTAGTTGCTTTGAATGCACTGTCTCAGCAGTCCATCTCAACTGCATCTCAGCAGCAGCTGCGAATTCATACGATAAGGGAATATTCGACATCGGTTAGATATGAAGTTACTGAGCATTTATTTCTTTGGGATTTTTGCGTGGTCGTTGCTTGTGTCCTCCGATGACATTTCAACCTCAGCAGATGTGCCAAAGATAACAAATGCAATTAAGATGCACAACTGGAATGAAATATTCCAGATCAAAGATCTGACCCACAGCGTTCAGACGCACAGGAAGGCGCCTCGGTTCATGATGGAGTTGTACGATGCTGTTGCGGACTCGAACGGAACGCTGAAAAGCACGAAAGTGCTGGAAGGAAATATTGTTAGGAGTTTCGAAGGTGCGTAAATTGAAATGGTGAGATGCAAGATGTTCCAGTGGACGTTTAGATGTAATGCAGAGGCGTTTGTTTTCTGATAGGACAGTCCAGCGGCTCGTATCACTTCTTCAATCTGACATCATTCAGACCGGACGAGTGCGTCATCAGAGCAGAATTCCGATGGTTTCGTCATCAACAGCCTTTTATGGGACGTCATCATTTTTACAAAGTAAGTTGAGCATTTAGGCATGATTTAAGTCATGTAAGTAGATGTAAGTGTGTTAGTGCTTAATGTAAGTGTGCTGCTGAATGTAAAGTGTCGGTTCCTTGTAAGGAAAGACACCACAGGTAGCCTAAATAGGGAAAAAGGTAAGAGTAAAAGGTAAAAATATATATATTTTCCCAGGTGATTGCATTAAAAATTGCAAACATTGTATTACTGTAGGCTATATTACTTATTACTACTATATTACTAGGATATATATATATATATATTTTTTTTTTTTTTTTAATGGTATGTTTAAATGTGGAAATGAGGAATTATATAATTAAATATGCATTGATTTAAATACATTTCCAGAACAGAAATCTAAACTTTGGATAAGCCAGGTTCAAAATTCTTGTTTCATTTTGTTGACATATGAGGTTTCTACAGAGGGGATTTTTATATCTCTTTTATCACTTTTATAAATCAGAAAATATGTAAATAGACAAAAAATAGATATGGTTTTTACATTTATATAAGGTTTTAAGATAGTTTTTTTTTTTTTTTTACACACACGCTATATTGAGTACAAATCTTAATGTTTAAGCGTATAATGATATTCTATGGAATTTTGTGCTTCTAATTTTATAGAAACTGGACGGGACTCCTTTCTATTCTAACATGACAATGCCTCTGTGTATAAGGCAAGGTTCAAAAAGAAATGATTGATTGAGTCAGTGTGGACGCACACAATTCCCTAGAATATAATATTATGCATAAACATGCAAATTGTATGCAAAAACATGCAAAATTACTAAAGTAGTCAAACATGTTTATTAGAAGGGGTGTCCCAATACTTTTGGCAATATAGTGTGTGTATATATATATATATATATATATATACACACACACAATATATATAAAACTGTAAAGTAGTGCTACTAAAGTGGAGAAAAAAACTCTTTAAATATATGTATTGGAATTAAAATCTGCAGACACAAGATAAAGTGCAATTAAATACACACTTAAAAGTATATTTTGCATGTTTTCTTTCCGCTAGTCCAAAAGTTACGAAAAGCCAAATAGCCTAAAATGAAAATTTTTGCTTGCAGTGTCTTGCTTATAAGGAGCTTTAATAGGAAATGCTCAAGGCTTAAGCGGTTGATGTTCATCTCGAGCAACCCATATTGCAAAAACAAACTTTTTAAATAAAAATATGTTGATGTTTTGGGGGATATATGTAATATGTAAATCTAAAATAAAGTTATATTGGCAGTGTTCGTTTCAGTGATGATGCTGAGAAAGTACTCGAGAGACTTACACTTGCTATGGATAATACCTCAAATTTCTGTCTGGCAAAAATATGCTCGCTGTCTAACTTGAAATATACTTTTTCTGGATACTGAATATTTTGAAACTATGTAAACACAATAAGGAATATAATTGCGAATTTGCATGTACAACGTAAATAATATTGCAAAATGTGTTGTTTTAGGTCGACCTGTATGAAGTGATGGACGGCAGACCTAAACCTTGGCGAGGAAACTTGATAAGCTCAAGGTTATTACCCGTCTACACTAAAGGATGGGAGCTCTTCAACATCACACAAATGGTAAACAAAATATCACTGCGTAGAAGAAAATAATGTGTAATCGCTTAGCGAGTGCCGCTGTCTCAATAACTTCTAAATTATTGACAGGTGACCAAATGGATTCTTAACAGCGGTACAAATAATGGTATCCTGGTCGTGACTGCTTTACCTGCAGGTGACTGGTTTGAGTCCAGCATTCAGATGAAGGTGCAGTCAGGCCAAACAAATGCATATTTGGTTATATATTCAGATGATGGACGAAAGCACTACCGACACCCACCTTTCTACACAGGTAATTAAAACGTACTGAAATTCTCCAGGCACGAGTATAACATATGACTGTTTTCTAGACTATGGGCACTTTTGGCCTTGTGGGCTTTCAGAAAATAAACTCTCTTAAAACACGTTTTACACACTTTTTTAATGGACATTCATGCATCACAGGTAAAGTCTGTCATTTATTTGTTTATGTTTATTTAAAAAGCCACAAACGTTTTCAGTGTTACTTTACAAATGCATTTCCATTACATCTTAAATAGCACTGGAAATGTGTCAAAAGGGAATATTTTATATTTTAAGACTGAAAGATAAGGTCTGCGACGAGGGTAAAATAATACAATAAAAGCCATTTTACAAGTTGCAAAAATAAATGATGAAGGCCTGGTAAAAAAATAGTTTCCAGGACATTTACAATGAGACCTTCATGTAACAAAAAGAAAAGTGTTCAAATCAATTTAAATACAAAATTTAAAAATAAAATCGACCCCAGGGACATAAAAATACCCAAAGTTGAAAATAGATATTTGAATGCATTCTAATGCATTATTATTATAATGCATACTGTACATAGTGTCTGAAATATATTACTGTTAAACACACACACACACACGTTTGTTTCTCTCAATTGTGGGGACTTTCCATAGACTTCTATTACTTTTATACTGATCAAACAATATTTTCTATCCCCTAACCCTAAACCTACCCTTTACAGAAAACTGTTTGCATTGTTACACTTTCAGATAAACATCATTTACTATTTTTAATAATATTATTTTCCTTCGTGGGGACCGCAGGCCAGTCCCCACAATGTCAACAATTCCAGGTTTTACTATCCTTGCGGGGACATTTGTTCCCCACAATGTAGCATAAACAAGTACTAACCCTAACCCTAACCCTACACAAAAATCTGATTTTATGTTTAAAAGTTTTGATGCCATTGTTAACTCTCTTTTAGGACAAAATATCACCACATCCCTTAAACTCCTCGAGCCTATAGCAAGTTTAGTGGCGTCAACAATGCGCAACCGCAGAAGTGTGCGCACATTAACCTCTACTTGCCAGAGAACAAACCTCTACGTAGACTTCACTAAAATCGGCTGGTCAGGGTGGATAATATCGCCCAGAGGTTATAATGCGTACAGTTGCGCCGGCTCCTGTCCGTTTCCGCTGGGTGAAGGTCTACGGGCTACGAATCATGCTACTGTGAGATCCATCATGAACGCACTGAAACTATCACAGGAGGCGGGGAGACCCTGCTGTGTGCCAGATGTGCTTCACCCCATCAGTCTCCTGTACTTCGATGACGAGGAAAACGTTGTTCTGAAACAGTACGACGACATGGTTGCTGGCAGTTGTGGCTGCCATTAAAACACAGAATGACAAGATGTAAATGTATCTTTTTATGTGTAATGTCATTTATTTATAAGCATCGCATGTGCCTCACTTCAAATGTAAATTTAGATAGCATTAACATTAGTTGATATTTGTATGGGTATTTGTATGTGTAAACCAAATTAAAGATGTTTCATGCAACCAAATATGATAATATCTTTTATAAGTATAAGATTATAATTTACTTTGAGTGGAAGATGTCTTTTCAGGCTTGAAAACTTCATATTGAAGCTCCACCCTTAGAGTTCAGCGACCACAAATCTACAAAACATGATTACAAAAAATGTAATCATGTTAATTTGACAATTTTTAGATATTTAGATATTTGATTGCATTCTAATGCATTATTATTATTAAGCATACTGTACATAGTGTCTGAAATATATTACTGTTAAACACACACACACACACACACACACGTTTGTTTCTCCATCCACTGCTTCAGTCTGGATGTTTTTATCTCACACTATCAATTTCCTCTTCAGGTGTATGTTCCTGTGATATATACACAGGCTCAGAGTAAGGATTTACCTCTTCATTATGCGTTTTATAAAAGGTTTCCTGCATCTGTTTCCTGCTAGGTTCAAAGTCTTCCAGGTCATCAGGAGGAATCATAGATCCTCCAGTCCTGACAAAAGATTTCCGTGATGGTAGGGGCACTGAAACAAAGCCATGATACAGCATAAGTGGTGGTGTGTTCATTACCTCCAATGGTGGAGCTTGTCGCACAGCAGCCTCGGGAGATTGTACTGGAAGTTGCACGTAACTTTTTGTTTCCGGGTCAAAGAAAGTTTTCGTTTTGACCTGTACAGGCATATCCACCAGAAAGTATTCTCCAGAGTCAGGGTCCTGTAAAAGCTTCCTTTGAGTGATTGGGAAGGACTGTGTTACAAGATTAGTGGCTGGTGCATAAGTATGTTCAATGCTGTTGTGGCACAAAGGTAATGCTTTTTGAGTAGAGTATTGTGATCCTCCTGTTGAATGAACTTCAACACCAGTTTTCCCAGTGCTGCTCGATATGTTTTCGTGCTTATCCCTTAAAAATCACATCCACTGCTTCAGTCTGGATGTTTTTATCTCACACTATCAATTTCCTCTTCAGGTGTATGTTCCTGTGATATATGCACAGGCTCAGAGTAAGGATTTACCTCTCCATTATGCGTTTTATAAAAGGTTTCCTGCATCTGTTTCCTGCTAGGTTCAAAGTCTTCCAGGTCATCAGGAGGAATCATAGATCCTCCAGTCCTGACAAAAGATTTCTGTGATGGTAGGGGCACTGAAACAAAGCCATGATACAGCATAAGTGGTGGTGTGTTCATTACCTCCAATGGTGGAGCTTGTCGCACAGCAGCCTCGGGAGATTGTACTGGAAGTTGCACGTAACTTTTTGTTTCCGGGTCAAAGAAAGTTTTAGTTTTGACCTGTACAGGCATATCCACCAGAAAGTATTCTCCAGAGTCAGGGTCCTGTAAAAGCTTCCTTTGAGTGATTGGGAAGGACTGTGTTACAAGATTAGTGGCTGGTGCATAAGTATGTTCAATGCTGTTGTGGCACAAAGGTAATGCTTTTTGAGTAGAGTATTGTGATCCTCCTGTTGAATGAACTTCAACACCAGTTTTCCCAGTGCTGCTCGATATGTTTTCGTGCTTATCCCTTAAAAATCTTTCTAGACTTTGAGTCCTACGTTCCAGTTTCTTGGGCAAGTATTTCTCATTGCTTCGACCCAGTCTGTCACTGTCATGGCTTATTTGGCCATTCTCCAAATGATCCTCATGGTTTGATGTGCCTTCTAGTTGTTTCTCACTGCGATGGGTCTTTGAGTCACCAGTATCTTTGCCTTTGGTTGCATGTGGCACTTTTTTACTAGGATTATTCTCTTCTACGTTTTGGCTCTTGTGACCACTATGGCGTCTAGCATGCTTCTCGCTTCTTTGAGCTTTGTGCTCAAGCGTGTCATCGAGATGTTTGCTTTGCTTATTGCTGATTCTGTCACTGCTAAGCGACCTGTGTTCTGATCTGTCATGTACTTTGTCAGTGCTGTGGTGCCTCCTCTCAGTCTTGTGAGCGACGCTTTTGTCACCTTTATGCTCAGATTTGCTTTTAGCTTCAGATTTTTGTATCCTCCGTGTGGTGAGCTTCAAGGCTCGGCGTAGAGCCTTTTCGGTTTTTGGAGGGACAACAGGCGGCTTGTTCTGACCCTGACTTTCGATTTCACTGCTGGCTGAAGCAGATCTCTCGCTGGGTGCCTTGGATCCCTCCGCATCCTCTGTTGGTGCATTGCTAAAGATGTTCTCCTCCATCGTATCCCCTCCGCTTGTTACATAGCCATCAATTCCCTCAGATAAAGTGCTCACAGCAGAGCGTCGCTCCTCCTCCTCAGACACAGAGGCACTTCCAACCGATGGCTTTCCGTCCTTGACTGTGACCAGGTGAGTTGCCGGAAGGGACAAGAACTGTATTGCGGGTTGGTTTGGTTGGGGGCTCTTGACTGAAACAGCAGGCATCTCAACTTGAGAATGATCTTTGAAGAGGTCCAGATCGTCCTCATCTTTCTCAGATCTATTCAAGCAGTTGTCTTGTTGATCCTTGGAGGAAGTATGACTGTGTGGCATTTGTGTTAAGTTTCTAGCTGACTCAATCAAGCTGTGCACCAATCCCCTTTTGTCCACATCACTAGGTGGAGAAACTACCCTATCAGAGACATCTGACTCACTTTCATGGTTGCTTAATGAGCAAGAATCTATTGATGGTTTCTGGAAAGTCTCCTTCACCTTTTCATCTACTTTTTCTTTCATGTTGCAGACTTCTGCTTTGCTTAACAACTCTTCTGGTTGTGCCCCCTGTTTGGATTCGTGCAATAGAGAGGGTTCACTTGAGTTTGAAGAGTGACTGCTGTGATGTGTTTGTTTACCATTTAACGAAGATACGGTGTGAGACTGTCCAAGGATATCATACACTGTGATACTGTCCTTTCTGACTTTATCAGGTTTGAAAGACTCTGAGGACAGTGTTTCAGAGAGTTCCTCCTGAAGATCGTCTACTGTTTTGACCCTTTCTGAGCTTGAAAGTCCAAGGAGTCCACTTAAGAAGTCTTTCACATAGACTTTTGGACCTTTGGATTTGTTTTGCTTGTCAGCACCTTCTTCTGTTTTTACCTTGTCTTGCATTCCTTCATTTATGTTGTTTGTGAGATCACCTACAGCCTTTTGGAAGTCTTGGGTGATACTGTGTTTCCTCTGTGAACTAGAATGTTCCTCGCCTCTTTCTGATTCTCTTGAAGAGATGTTGGACATTCTTTCACTCACTGAATCCATCTCATTGTAGATAATGGAATAAGTGCCACTTTCAGCATCACTGACTGTGAGTTTTGGTGGAACAAATTTGTGTTTCATTTTGTCTTTTGGGGCCTTTTCATTGGGTCTCTCTTCCATAGACTTTTCAGAACATGTATCTTCAACAGGCAGGCCTTTCTGAACATCCTTGCGGTTCATCTTAATTTCTTTGTTGTATTTCTCTTTCAGAACTGATACATTTCCTCTCACTGGGCCTCGACTGTTTGTTTGACTTGACTGAACTTTGCTTATTTCCCTACTTTCCATTATCTCAGTTTTGCCTGTAGTGTCACCTTCTCTTTTAAAGTCCAAATTACTTTCTGTCTTTTCACCTACTCTGTCATTACTCTGAGAATTACTTCTCCCTCTTCTTGGGGGTATCTCAGGTTTATAGGAACTACCCCTTTTGTCAACACCCAACTCTTCTTCATACTGTCCCACTCCACAAATATCTCTACTTTCCAAATTATCTCCCATTTTTGTGCATTTCATTGCATGACTTACATTTTTATTCATTAACTCTTTCTTTTGGTGTTTTTTATCACCCTTACTGATATTATTTGTGTTGCTTTCTTGATGGTCTAGGCACAATCTGTCTCTCTCATTATATTTTATAGGTTCTATATGCTGGCACTGCCCATTAGATGCTTCCTGCTTACAGGGCCTGGCTAATTTTACCTCAGGCACATGACTTTCACCATGTTTGGCCATGTCTTCTGACTTTGTTTGCGCAGTCTGCCAATTGGTTTTAAAAGCTGATACAGTATTCAGACCTTTGCCATCTTTTGTACTTGTCCCCCTTTCATTCAGCATAAACATGCTAGGTAGTTGGTCCTCTCCACTGGTGGGTAACTCAAGATCATCTTGAAGTTTTTCACAACCACGTGCATTACTTTTCAAATTTCTTTGCTCTCGTTCAGCAATTACTTCCTCTAAAGCCATTTTGGCCAAGTCATACTTATCTATAACAACATTATCTCTCTTTAAGGGTGCAGTTGTCTTATTTGGCACCAGTTCTATTGATGTGAACAGTGCTCTCTTTGCAGAAGTGTTTCCTTTCACTGAGAAAGTTCCATCTTTTACTTTTTGCTCTCTTCGACTTTCCAAACCATTCTTTGATGTAATACTGCTCTGTTCTTTAGCTGTGGTAGCCTCTCCACTTACATGAACATTTTCTTTCAATAGTGGTCCATCCACTGTTGTTTGAACTAGTCCTTTATTTTTACGTATTCCTTCATGATGCTCCTCTTGTCTTATCTCTTTCATTTTTGTATTTTTGGAATGCCTGGACCGCTCATCATTAACATTTTTCATTTTTAAATCCATCAGCCGTTTTTCTGCATTAGAACTATCATCATGATCTTTATCATCATCTGTACTTACAAATCTCTGACTTTTAATGTAGTTGTTCTGCCGTGCAGAAAATTCATGCTTAGTTCCTTCCTCCTTTCTGTTGGGTTCTTTTTCTTTAACAGGGCTTTTCTGTGTACTGGCTGTTCCTCTAGTTTTCAACCTGTCCTTAATTTGATTTGTACCATCACTAATGGCTTGTTCTTCCAGTTTTGTTAAACTTACAGCTGGGCTTTTTTCAGATTTGTTTTCAATAATCCTTTCACTATTTAAACCTTCAGTGGGCTTTTTGGCATATAGCGTTGACTCTAAGGTATCATTTTTGTTTCGCAACTCTACACCTTTCAACAATTTACTTGGATAATTATGCTTTGTGTCATGATCTTTGCTGGCTTTTTCTGTGAAAACCTGAGAGCTGGTGTCAACCACAGTTTGAGAATTTGCTCTGATCTCCTCAGGACTAGCTTTTTGGTAAAGTTGTAATGATGGGTATTTTGCCTTGTTAGTTGCAGGGCTCCTGTTTGATTTTAATTTTCCAGATTGAAGCAGACTCAGTGCCAAATAGTCATCTGGCATTCCATCATTCGCAGAAGAGCCAGTTTGAGTCTCTCCAGTTTCCAACAAAGGACTCAATGGAGATATAATGGCTTTGTGATGAGTAGGTGAAATTGTTTTAGCTTCTGAATCCTCTGGTATTTCAAGCACATCTTTTGACACTTCAGGCTGGGGAGACTCTTTACTTTGATTTGTCGCATCCAAACCTTTATACTTAGCTGGACAGTACATGGCCTTAACCCGTTTTCTGTTGTCCTTGAGATTGAACAGCAAGCTTGATGCTATGGATTTGTACCCTTCTCTCTTAATCTCAGGCGACAGATGCAGTTCTCTCTCAGAGAGCGCTGGGATCTCCAGGGCAGTGGGCCAGAGCACAGTTTGCAGTATCTCTGAAGTTCCTGTCCCATGTCTGGAGGGTATCACCGGTGTCAACAGCTGTGAAATACTGAAAGGAGTTGAACTAGTGGAGGTCTGGTCCTCTACTGTCTTGACTTCTTTTTTAAATGCCTGTGCACTCCCGTCTCCAGCGTTTGTCTTTTCGCAGGCCGGTGAGTTGATGGAATGCCCCACAGGAGCAGCACTTTTTGCTCTACTTTGGCTTTTTCGCCAGGGAACGCAAGCTTCCACTCTTTCTGAATTACATCTCTGTTCAGCAACAAGCGGAGGAGCTTTTGTAGGAATATTATGCTGGATGTGCCCAGACTCTTTCTCTGGTTTTGGGAGTACCTTAGGTGCTGCCGTTTGTACAGAAGCAAGTTGTGGTTTAAGTGGATGAGTCTCACTTTGTTTTGGACACTTTTCAACTTCTTTTTCAACTGATGGGGAAATGCATACTTTATAGTGTCCATGTGCTGCAGTTAATTCTTTGTAAAGAGGTGAGTCATACCATTCAGGTGGCCTGTTGCTCAACACAATCTCCGAAATGTGCTCCTGCCCGATGGAGAATTTATTAAAATCCCTCCATGACAAAAACGGGCTTAATTCGCTGTGGAGGAAAAAGTTTATGCAATTTAGTTTTCGCAGTTTGTTGTGTTTGCTTTGTTTACTTTTAGAAGATTTTCCCAGGGGATTTGAAGCAACCTTGCTTGATTTCTTGCCAGACCCTTTTTCATCTGATTTAAGATGATTTTTGGCTTGGGAAAGATGTCCCGCTGTTAAACTGTGATAATCTGAAGAAAACTCGGAGAGCTCCCTTTGGATGCTGAGTAGAGCAGATTTGTCCCATGAATCACCATTTGTCATCTTGCTGCTCTCACCATTCCTTTTGGCTGCAAAAGCTGCAAAAAGCAATGAGTCTTTGGATGACTTATTTGATCTACTCAACGGATCATTCGCTCCATTAAGGGGGTAAGAATTAAGTTTTCTGACAGCAGAAAATGAGCTCTGCTGAGTCTTTTTTGAGATGTCCTCCGCCATTGGCTTGTGGCAGCTGACTAGAGAGGGTGAAAATTCTGAGTCATTGTAGATTGCTTCATCTCCAATGCACAGACTCTTAAAAGCTCGATCCGTCAGGCTCATGACCTCACGGTCTATTTCATCCATAAAGCTATCAAGATAGCGGAGGTGCTGCATGCTTGTCCTGTGGCGCTTCTCTTGGTTGCTCATGATGGATGCGTATTCCCAGTTCCTTCAGTATGACGGAGAATTGACCTGGCTTGACACTTCTTGCATTGTCAACACCACATATTGGAGATTACATTGTGATTTCCCTGCCAAAAAAAGAGACAAATTAAACAGTTTTGGACTGTCAAAAATCATATTTTAAAACTACTAACATATATATTTAAGATGAAACCGTTTATTGTTTTGACCTCAGAGGTGGTTGGTAATTCTGCCTGTGACTATGTACAGTAAAGAAAGATACACCATGCCAAACACCAACTATTTTTAGAAGAAGGCAGATGTCTCTCTGCCCTTTCACATACACAGGCCACATGCATAACCCTTGGAAGTCATTTGGTAAAACAAATGGATTTTCAAACCGTGCAGGCTACTTTCAGTGTGTCCTGTTCAACAGATCTGCTTTTTAAACCGAAATACTTCTAAGCCTAAAATGTCAACATTGTTGAACTTCCTCAAACAAGCTATCTAACATTTTTTTTTCCAGCATTATTTGCACTACAGAGAATACAAATTAGTCATCATTCAGTTGTTCATTGCAGCTGCTGCACTGTGTGGTTGATCCTGGAATAACTCATTAACCCATATTTATCCTCTGACCTAAATACATTAACCAGCACTCATCACTGCTTCTGTCTGTCATGGAATGGGAATGGGCCTTAAAAGTACTACAATATGGCATTATTAGACATTTTTGTGTAACTCTGAGAGCTCAAATGCTGACAAATCTTGAGATATATTTGTGAGCATTTAAAGGCATGCACTAAGTGGCCAAGACGATTTGGACAGCACAACATTTTTCCACCACCCATAATTCCGTATCAACTTGCAGTCTGGGTAATTTCCCCACATGTGTTATTTTATTTATGTGAAACGAAGATCTACAGTACAGCGATAAGGCCCTCAAGGAAAGCTCTTCAAAATAACAGGCTGTTCATCATAAAGTTATGAAAATGTCAAAGAGCAGCTGCTCTCAACGGATCTTAGCTTTTTATTATTAAAAGGAAAATATAGTTTACACTAAGAAAATTTCAAACAGAGCTTTTGTCAGGAAAGTAAGCACATTAATTTTACAGTAAGAGATTAAAAGCCAGTCAAAGTTTATTCCTTACCTTTTTTTGAAGTTCTGTAGTTCGTCCTTGGACAAATACATTCGCTAAAAAAATATACAAACGAATCCTTAAAGGTAAATTTCACACTAGCCACCAAGTGAAGTCAGACTTTCCTGATACTCCATATAAGAACACTATGAAAAATGCTCTTTGCTGAACACAGCCTGAAGCTCATGGTAGAAATCCATGTTCAAGTAAGCGCTTGAAAAGAGAAGGAACCGAACACACCCCACCGAAGTAGTTGCCGGCAAGGCCAGAGCTGTAACACAGGAAGAGCAGATATCTGAGCGACTCTTTGGTGTCGAGTGTGCGACAGATGAAATGCAAATGGTCATCTGCTATTTTGGTGCCGGTAGCTTGAGTGCCATAGCTGTCTATACCTCTCCAGTCCTACAGAAGCTACAACATTTCACATTAACACAGCCACGCTGGATACATGGGATGTTGTTGTGCGGTGGCTGGGGTGAGTAGGAGTCATTTGTCTCACAAACAGCAAATATAGCAACTTGCATCACCCCACCGCAGTGTCACCAAACTCAAAGTGTAGATGAGTGGCTAATGGAGTCTGATTACCAGGACAGACTGCCCACAGTTTAAGCAGATCCTGTTTGTGTCTTTCTAGTATTTCTGCCTCCAGCCGGTCAGACTGAAAGAGCAAAACATTCATGCTTAGGCTTTTATTATTATTATTATTCACAAAGTAGAAACTGGAAGCTCCCGGACGTTGGAGAAAGTGGTTATGGAAACACGAACAGATTTATACCATAAAAATAATTTGTATCCTAACATGACCTCTTTGTCTTAACGCTTCATTATGTAATTGTATTTATTTGGCTATGCTCTTCACACCTACACAGCATGATAGACTTATTTAAGTGGCTCTATTTGAAGCCGCCTGTATTTCATACATTAATAGCGTGCCTTTCTTTCTGGCACACCTTTCATATCTCAGCTTATCTGTCACATGTCAAAGCAGCACCTGGTTCTCCACTGTACAGGCCAGAGTCTCAAGAATATCAATAAAAAGCAACAACTGAAAAAAATAACAAAATAAAAGCCAATTTAGAATAAGGGCGTTAACTATAACTATAAAGTTGTATCATTGCAAATATATGAGAATATGGAAGTGCACAACACAGACATAACGTTAGCAACACGTAGGAACAATATTGTTGGAATCACTTTCGGGATTACTTTTTTCCATGTGGTGATGATAAAAATACTGACAGCCAATCAGAATTCACTGAATATTTAAAGCAGCAGATGACGTAACTGCAGCTTGTGCTTATAATAAACAGAACATTATTTTGCATTGCTGTGGATGCTAATATGTTATCGTTATAGTTATCTTTGCATTTACAGTTCTTGGTGCGAACGGGCATTTAAAAAAAAAACATTTCATCAAAAAAACACATTAAAACAAATTCAGTCAAATATCAGTAAATATAAAGCACAATTGTGTAGTGTTTAACATACGGAAGTTTAAACGATAAGTAAAAGTAATAGTTCACCCCAAAAAAAATTCTGAATATTTATGTTGTTCCAAACCTAAAAGAGATTTTTTTTGAAGAAGAAGAAGAAGAATATCACAACCTAAAAAAAAAAAACTTAAAATGTTGGTCAATAAAACGTGACTTTTATTCACTATATATTTCTATTTAAATTGTTATTTATGAATTAGTTATAGAATTTATGTATTTTATTTTATTTTATTTATGTAGGCTATTATTGATTGTTCTATTGTCAAAAAATGTAAACCATATTATCGCCCAGCATAAAGTTGGATGCACTTACTATATATATATATATATATATATATATATACTGTAAATATATATAGTGTGTGTGTGTGTGTGTGTGTGTGTGTATATACACAGACACACTATATAGCAGATTTCAACTGCTTGATTGTTTATATTGTGCCAAAAAGCAATTTTATAAGGCATGAAAATAAGATTAAGTTAAGGAAATTTGCTTAATGCTTTGAAACGATGTGTATTGTGAAAAGCGCTATAGAAATAAATTGGACTTGATTTATTTATGGAAATCTAAAGTGGCGATGTCTGATTCATAAATGAGTTAAATTTGTTCAGTGAATCAGTTAATCCAGTTCGCAACAGGTCTAAATGAATCATTCATTAATCTGGTTCTCTGAATATGAATCAGTCAGATCTGGTTAGCAGCGAATAATGGAACTTCGGTCTATTTGAAACAGTGTTTTAAATTTGGGTAAAAAATTCTTCGTAAATGTTGTGTTTGGAAGGTGAGTAAATCGTGACAATATTAATTATTGGGTGAACTACCTTTCATTCATTCATTCATTCATTCATTCTTTTTTCCTTTTTTCTTTCTTTCTTATGTATTTACTTCCAGGTTTTATTTGTTAATTTATATCTGTTTACATCTAACCAAAGTTAAATATGTGTGCTATGAGACGTAAGCATTGTTTTGAATTGAAATGAGGAATTTTTTGGGGGGAGAAGACAGAGTCAACACAATCAATATATCAACAAAACGAGTAACTGCTCCATCAGCTCAGACACATGCATACTTGTGTTTTGTCCACAGACCGTATGTTATTCCTGTACATGATTCATGGGGTCGTATGGGGAAAGTCCCTCCCTAATAATATCTGTAAGCCTCTGTGTCAGCAGTCAGACCGCTGCTGCGACTGGAGCGCGCTTCTCTTTTACCATCTGCTAATGTGAACCTCGAGGGGAGGAAGGTCGCAAGGAGAGGGCAGACGAGTCTCTATCCTTAGCAACCCAGTCTCACCGTTTCCAAAAGCTCTCACTCAACCTCTTATTCCAGAGCGAGCAGGCAAGGCTATAATAGGACAACCGGACCGTTTGGCCCTCAGGGGCGTCTGGGGTGGCAGCGGAGAGGAGCGTGATCTATCTGAGGTGATGGACATCCACACATGGGCCGGCTATCATTCATTGCACTGGAGAATGCTTGAGCATCACGGCTGCCAATAAATACTAGCATGTCTGATGCGCTGGCCTCGACATGCACCCGCTGCTGAGACGCTCCGGTTACTGTTGTGTATTGACTGCCACGCTGGATTCAACGGGGAGAATGGATATAAATGCAATAACCTTTGCCTCGTTGTGTAATGCTTAAAGAAACCTGTCTGTCAGCATTTACTAACACACATGTTTTTCGATGACTTTGTTTCTTGAGCTCAAAAGAAGACATTTATACTAGAATGTCCAAGCTGCACATTTCGGTACAATGAAAGTGAATAATGATCACGGCTATTTTGCAAGATGTTAAGTGATGGACTTTTGTAAATTTCAGTCTGTTCCTCACATAAATCTATCACATGGCTTCAGAAGACTTGGTGCATCTATGGTACTTTTTTTTTTTGCTTGACTGTTCTCGGTGCCCATTCACTTTTATAGTATGACAGAGAATAATATAAGAGCATGAGGTTAATTATGACCTAGGTTTTATTTTTGGGTGAATTATAAAAAGATATTAAATGTTCACTATACCATCCAAAAGCTTGGGGTTGGTTAGATTTTGTAATGTTTTTGAAAGACAAAAATATTAACATTAATCATGGAATAATTGTTTTGTTTATTAATGCTAATAATAATACATAGATTGTTTAATAAAAATAGCATTAATAAACAGAAGAAATCCCTCCATATAATAATATTTGAGGATATAAACATTTCTTAGAACATACAGACCACTGACCTATTGCAACAGACCCAATTCATTTGACACGGCCTTGTTTAAAGCCTGTCACGAAAAAATATCTGGAGGCAGACTTGAGTTGAGACATCAAGATGTCAACAAATCGCCTTGTGATGATGAAAACAAATCACACTGCAATATGCCAAATCTGTGATGCAATCATTAGGTCTAAAGATGCACAAATACCCATTCTGCCCATTCGAAGTTAAGCAATGGCAGTGTGTTGTAAAACCATGTCCCACTCTGTTAAACTG